CTGCCCCTCAAGCAGCCTTACTTAAGGTGGACTTCCGTGCACTGGCGCTGGGGGGCGAAGCACGCGATGGCCCACACCTTGATCTCAATGCCTGTGTGAAACTGCTTGTTCCTCATGTCCCACACGCCCTGGACAGGGGTGGCGATCGCTTTATTCTGCAAATGGCAAGGCGTTTAGAGTGAGGAAAAATGGGAAACACAGCCCTCTGACCCTGGATCGTGTTACTTTCCTACTGCTGCTGGTCCCCTGATCAGGTGGTGCTCCTGAGGCTGAGAACTGGGCCTTTGTGTAGTCTGCCGTCCCTGACTTGCCCAGCCGTGCAAGTGGGCCAGAGACGTCTGGAGAAGGGATGGATGGACAGATGAAGAGCTGGATGGGAGACGGGGCATGGAAGGATGGATGGAGGAACAGAGGAGGAAGGAAGGAAGGAAGGATGGAGGGAGGGGCGGATGAGGGGACAGAGGAAGAAGGAAGGATGGATGGAGAGAAGGGCGGATGGGGGGACAGAGGAGGAAGGAAGGATGGATGGAGGGGGGTGGATGAGGGGACAGAAGAGGAAGGATGGATGGATGGAGAGAGGAACAGATGGGGTCAGAAGAGGAAGGATGGATGGAGGGAGGGGCGGATGGGGGGACAGAGGAGGAAGGATGGATGGAGGGAGGGGCAGACGGAGTAATGGAAGGATAGATGGAGGGGTGGATGAGCAGACAGATGGAAGATGGATGGACCGATGAAGGGAGGGGTGGATACAGGCCAGGGAGAGCAGAGAGGCCCAGAATTCCACCCAACCTCAGGGGCAGCCCGGAGGAATGCTACAGGAAGCTTCCTGGTTGGTTCAGAACATGCTCTCACTTATTCTACCTCCTCTCTTATCAGGCCGACAGCCGGGGAGCGGGGTGGGGGGAGGAGAGAAGTCAAGGTGCCTCCTCCCGGTCCTGGCCGGGGAGCAGATGGGCCAGAGAGGACCCCTGCACTGCTCACGCCACTGTCTGCCGTGGTTTAAGGAACTCGAAGCTACCCCCTCTGGTAAAGACAGAGCAGGGGACACATCCACCGGGGTTTGTCCTCTCTCAGCCAGAAAGGACCAGGCCTCAGCACCACCAGAGGAACCCCTGGACTCCCTTCCGGGGAGGGCTGGCGGCGGGGGGCATGGCTGTCCAGGCCGGTGGGCACCGCCAAAGGACGGGCCGCACCTGAGCTCCTGTCACTTGGTTATGGGAGGGTTTCTAGTGGAAAACATTTTTTATTACAAAAGTCACACAAGCCTATTGTAAAAAACAAACATTTTAGAAATGAACTCTTTTCTTTCCGATATTTTTATAACTATTTCCCCGCTGCTACTAGAGACAGGCTTCTATAAGAGACAGCCCCCCACCAGTCTGGTATTCCAGACCCAGTGCACGCACGTGCACACGCCCACACACACACGCGTACATGCACACGCACACACACGGTTTCAGCAGACATGGGCTCTTAGGACACATGCGATTCTCAGCCTCAGCACCGCTGACATTCAGACTGTCCTATGCACTGCGGATGTTAGCAGTTCTTGTCACCAGATGCCAGCCTCCAGACATCGCTAAACGTCCCCTGGGGGGCATTTAATGTCTTGCTCCAACAATGGACAACAAGTAGGGTAGGTGCAGAAAAGTGTGTGTTCTCATTAAAATGTTTCAGAGATCTGGAAAAATGTGTTCATTTAGAAGCATCAAAAACTTCCCATCCCTACAATTCTAATATTTTTGCAAGATGAGGTTACAAGAGCTATTTTGTCTTCCAGACTACTCCTGTATTTCTTGAGTGAGAAAGTCGAAACAGACATAAGCAGACAGATCTGCGGTCCCGCTGTGATCACCCAAGGGCCACGTAAATCTCTGTTTCTAGCCATCTCTCCACTTACTTGTGAAAGGGAATCACACACTCTTCCTCCTAGGGTTTTAAGAAGGGCTCAAAAAGGTGCTATGTTTGCAGCGCGTCTGGACACAGCAAGTGCACAAGTGAGCTCAGAGCCCGGAAGCCTTGCTCAGAAGTCTCCTTCAGAGGGCGGGCACCAGGATGGGCCCCCCCCCCTCCACAATACCGTGCAGTGAAAGCCCAAAAGAACAAGCCACACGTCACATACATATGGAACCATCTCCAAGACCTCTATGGGCTCTAAGAGAAAGTTTCAAGTAAAAAGAGGCGTATTTAATGTTACTAATTGCACCAAAAGGGATGAAAACTCATGTGAATAATCCCTGGGCAGCTTTACAAGATAAAACACCAATCACTTCCTGGGAGAGCAAGTGAGACCTGGGGAAAGAGTCTTCTTCCTATAATGCTTTGTTTTGCTGTGTTGTGCTTTGTAAGTAGGCTCCAGGCTCAACGTGGGGCTCAAACCCACGACCCTGGGATCAAGACTTGCAGGCTCTTCCCCCTGAGCCGGCCAGGTGCCCCCCTCCTGTAGTTCTTTGTGCCTTTTGAACTTTGGAACATTATAAAAAGCAGAACTTAACGTTTTACGCTAAGAAAGGGGAAAACCCTACAAACAAAACCAGGCCTTGCTATGGGTCCTGAGGACGAGGGTAAAAGGCAGAGTCACTCCAATCTTCCATCAGAGCTTGTGGGTGAGCAGCCCGCGATGAGTGAGGCTGAGGCCCCCGGGGCCCCGCCACCCACCCGGTAAAGCCGTGCTCCGCGTCTGGGGGCCCGGCCCTGAGGAAGTGCATGAAGACCCTTCCTGTGAGCTCTGCAGGGCTCAATGGACAGGATCGCTTTATGATGTGCTGATGAAGCCAGGCATTACACCAGCAAAAACAAACAAAACCTGAGTGACTAACAGCTCTGTTTGTCACCAAATACCTCCAACACCGAAGTTAGGAAAACAGAAAAGAAGTCTAAGTTTCTGGAAAATAATTCACCAGTGGCAAAGTGCCCAAAGAACAACGCTTTCCAGATTTCAAGGGGGTAATAAAAATCACCTTTTGAAAAAACAAAAGTTATTCTGAAAATCCTCAGAAAGGGCCCAGCAACTCAGTCCTTACTGAGGCCCTGTAAGGTGCACTGGCTTGGACTAGAGTGGCAAGAATTCCTTACCTTGGCCACGGTCTACACCTCTGGCACGGTTCTGACCCGAGGGGGTCAAAAGTTCCTGCTCCACCATCACCTGCCAGACACACGGCGTGTCCCCCGAGCCCCGCCCCCACGTACCCTGCCCCCGTAGAGGATAGAGGGCGGCTGGAGGACCCGCCCGGTCACGTCTGTCATCTCGTCCTTGACCATGATTCCAAATTCACGAACATACGGATCTGTATTAAAACTTGCACTTCGCATCTTGAAAAGGAAAAAAGAAATAAGCCGTGTCTGTCCCAAGCACCAGGGGCTCCCTTGCCCGGCGCCACGTACCACAGTCCCCATGGTGTCCCCACCCCCGGGCTGGCCCTGGGAACGTGACGCTCACCAGCTTGCTAATCTCTTCTTGCCGATCCGGCGCTGACCTGGCGGTCGCTCTGATCATGGTTGAGGTCTGATTGTCCGTCAGTTTTTTGATACATCTCTGTCCTGCCACTATGTTACAGACCTACAAAGAAGAGACAGGGCGTTGGCCCCGGTGCTGGAGGACAGGCGGGGGTCGGGCTGAGCGTGGTGCCCTGGCTCAGCCTGTGACACATCGGTCTCTTAGCCACACGTGGCGAGGTGCCCCGCACACACCATGGTGGCCGTCCCTGCGACCCTCCAGGATTGGGGCTGCTCAGGGCCCGCGGTCGGCACCAGAGACCCTCCTGGGTGAGCCTGGCCTGGCACCGGTGCGCGCTGGGAACCTCACAACGTAGGAGCATGAAGCTGCGTGCTGATGGGGAGGAGGCCGGCCTTCTGGACCAGGGCCCAGGAAAACCATCTGGATATTTGGGTAGCTGGACAAGTACAGAGAATTTAAGGCACTAACAGAAAAGAGTTAAAACTTGGGCCTCAGCTTCAGCATTTAATCTTTCCCTGGGCCAGGGTTCTTCCAACAGTAAGTGAAGAAATAGTAGCTTTTCTGAGCATCTTCCACCCTGTTCAAAGGGCCTGCTGGGCACAACAGGCACGTCCTGAATGGGCCCACGAATCCCACGGGAGTCACCACACCGTTTCATTCTTGGGGAGGCAGGCACGAGGGGCATCACTGGCCTGAGGCCCACAGTTCTCCCACCAGCCCCAGAGCAGCGCGGACAGGAGACGGAACTTGCCTCGAGGGGAAGGTAGGTGTGTTTCTGCTCCTGTCCGACTTGTAAACACGGGAGGTGGGGGTAGCGCAGAACCAGCTTGTGCCTGTCCTTGAAGTACTGGGCCACCGTGCACTCCACCGTCTGCCCGCTCTCCTGCTGGAGCGGGAATCTAGGGAAGCCAAGAAGGGGCTCAGGCAGCAGGCCCCACATGAGCCCACTCCCCCGGTCTGCTTGCTGAGGGCTGGAGAAGGTGGGTGGGGGTTGGGGTGGGGGCAAATGTCCAAAGCACCTTCCAGGGGTCAAAACCAATCATGCCCTTCGGACAGGTAGTTCCTAAACTTCCGTATTATCTCTGGAGTTGGGAAATAAAAAACACTGACATGCATGTAACATGCAACAATCACAGATCCCAGAGATCTACAGTGTAAGTAAGGAAGTAGCCACGCCTCGGCGGTGGGGGGGCGCCTACTGATCCCCGCTAGCTCCCAGCACCGGCTCAGCACTGAGGACGGGAAAACAAACAAAAATGACCCTCTCTCGCCTGTAAAATTCAAGAGGGAAAATCAACAAGGAGCCACCAACCCCTTCCCACCCCGTACGGTGCAATTTCATGATTTTATCTCATTGGATGCAGTTTGGTTCTACTGAGGCAAGGGCATGGTTCCGGAATTCTGAACTAGAATGAAATGATCCTTCCCAGGAGGGCCACTGCTCTGGAGGTGGGCCATCGGAGGGACCGCGGAGGGGGGTCCGGGGCGGGGGGAGGGTGAGGCCATTTACGTCTGGTGGCTGGCGGGCCGCCGAGTCACATTGCACACACGGTATTTCCTCTTCATCTGCCCACAGTGCGTTATCTCCACCTTTAGACCTGGCAACACACAGCAGCCCGGCCTCACAGTCAAGCCCCGGCCCGGCCCAGAGCGTGGGCCCCGCTTCCCGGGCACCGGCTGTCCCCGGAGCCCACAGACCCCAGGGGAGGGTGTTCCGCAGCAGCTGCAGGGCCGCACTTGCCCTGAGTGCGGGGACCTGTGCGCGGGGCCCGGCTCACCCACGGGGATGCCTTCTGCCCCAGAAATGCCAAGGCCAGAGGCTGGACACAGTTCTTAAAGATAAAAGAGACGATGCTGGCTCAGCGAGACTTTGTGCTTCCTCCAGGACTATTTTTAGCAGCCGGCACTTCTGACGGCCTTTAGAAAGCCCGGAGGAGGACAGGTGCGGAGGGGCGTGGGCGACAGGTGCTGGCCGACCCTCCGCGGCTGGGCCAAAGGGCCCGAGCCGGGCCACTGCACTCGGGCCGTGTTTCCCTGAGTGGAAAGCAGGCTTGGTGGGTAGGTGCCCAGGACAAGGCATGAAAGCGTGCTCCCCATTCCAGAACAGCATGAGGTGCTGGTAACAGCCACACGCTGCTCTTTGCTCCGAGAGCCCAGTGACTTGCACGCACTGGTCGCTGACCCCGTGGAAAGCTGTTTACTGAGAACATCACTGTTCCCGCGCTGTGAAATGGGCTTAGTTCAAATCTGTGCTAATTCTCGGGATGCCTAATCACTCTCGCCGCCTTCATCCCCTTAGGAGCTCAGGAAGTGCAGCGAGGGGGAAAGTCAGGGCCTCACACGCAAGGCAGCAACCCACCTTTGATTTCTTTGGTAAACTTTACCCTTTGGGAATCTGTCAGAGGTTTCTGTTGTTCTTCAATACTTTTAAAATCCAAAACTTCACAAACAAACTCAATTACTGGCTGTGCCTTATAAAATGCAGTTGCTGAGACTGTAGGTGGAAAAAGAGAAAAGTAAAAGCTGATGTGAGATGTGCCCAACGGTGCCCCTTGCAGGCCGGCCACCTGGCTCTGTTCCCCCATCCCCGGGGTCCACCTCTGGGCCTTAGGGTGGGACAGAGCCAGAGGGGGCTGCCCCATACTCCCTCTGCTCAGGGCCCAAAGATAAAGTCACCGTCTGAGAATAAAATTAGGTTTAAAATGAAACCCCACCAGATCACAACAGCCATGACTGCAGATTTTCTGACTGTCTCCTGGTGCAGATCTCTCTGAAGCGTACTGTTCCTTGCGTGATCCAACCCTGAGTCTCCCGAGAGGGCAGGGCACCCTAAACCCGGAGGAGAGCAGCCGGAAGGCAACAGACCAGGCAGGCCCCCAGCCAGCTATCCCGCACTCCTACCAACCAGGCTGCATAAGGAAAAGGCGAGATGGTGGGCGGGCCTAGCGGTGGGAGGTCAGTTCACACCCCCCAGAAACACTGGCCCTGCCTGGTGGACAGAGGCAGCAGCATCTGGGAACGAGTCAGGGACGCAGGCCCGTCTCAGCGCCCCGAACCTCAGTCTCGGGAGCAGGCCCTGCGGGTGGTTCTGAGGGTCACGTCTCACAAGCAGGTGAGGAAGGCCAGGTGTGGCAGCCCATGAGGCTTGGGCGGAGGCCACAGAGGCGCTGGCTCCCCCAGGTCTCGGCCCCTCGGTGACGCTCCAACCCCCCCCCCGATGACAAAGACTGGGGCTTCGCTTACCATCGATATTTAACATCATTTTCCAAAGGGAAGGTCGGACGGACTGATGGAAGCCAAACCACACTTCCCGGCCCCCGCCAAGGGGGTTGGAGCAGCCCTCGGACGCTGTAAAGAAGGAGCGGCCCACAGGGGTGTACCTGAAACAAGAGACCCCCTGTCTGATCAGAAAGAACAGGCTGACGCCAAGTTTGCTGCTCATCGTGACAAACCAGCAGGCAAACACTCACACGTGCCAACGGTTCCGCCGTTTTTAGCGAACTGCACTTTGCAGGCGTCCGTGGCTGATGCTGAGGAGCACTGTTTAAGGCACAGCCTCGGGGACGCGGGGCCTCGGCACGCAGGGCGCAGGGGAGCAGCTGGCCTCCCACCCACCGTGCTTCTGGATCCCCGACGCGGGCTCTGGCTGTGCAGGGCCCAGGGCGCACAGGGTGTCCCTGGCTTCATCCGTGTTTCTGACCCTCCCCACCCCCCACCCAGTACTTTAATGCTCATCCTCCAGGGCTTAGCTGTGCGCAGCGCTTCACATCTTTCTAGGACAGCGCAGTGCTGCGTGTGCAGGGACGGGTGGAAGGAGCGTCTGCCAAGTGGCCGCCGCAATCAGGCCAAGGCGGCTGGACTGAAGCAGCCCCGGGCTGGGGGGAGCCTGGCTGCTTTGCCCGGGACCATGTTGGGACGTAGAACCCAGCATCCATTCCCCGCTCCACGCAGCTCCTCTGCAGGGGAGGCTCTCAATATATGGGGGGGGGGGTGGGGGGGAGCTCGGCCTCCCAGGCTCGGGATGGTAAGGTGGATGTGTGGGAAGACCCGCACGCCGTCCAGGGCCCGGCTGCCCACAGTGCGCAGAGGGCAGGAAGCCGCCTGCGTGAGGCGCACACCGAGCAGCTGCACCAACGTGCCTGGTCCCCCAGGACGCGTCCTCACCAAGGATCCAAAGGGAAGATGCTTCTTTTAGGGGTTGTATTATCCACCTACAGGCTGCACTATCAACCGGATGGTGGGGATGGTCCTCTCCCTCTCCCCCTGACCCATGTTAATCCCGCCACTTTTTCTATTATTTTTCCAAAATGAAAGGAGACTTTCCTCCTGATTGTAAAAGTAACATGGTAATTAATTCAAAACTCAGAAAACAAAAATCACAGTAATTTCCGCCACTCATTTGAAAAATGTATTCAACGTTTTGGCAACTGCCTTTCTAGATTTTTTTTTTTTTTGCACCCACCTGCCTTCCTGCCAACAGAAGTTCCAAGCAGTAGCAGATTATACCCTGGGGGCCGGGGGGAGGATCCCTGCTAGGAGGGACACCTGCCCGGTATCTGGTTGCCCCCCGCCAAGTCTGGAGACTGAGAACATCAGGGTCCCCTTAAAATCCAACGAGGCACTCCAGAGCACCTTCTCTCACCCCTACAAAGGGACAAAGGGAGCCCCACTCCCTCCTCAAATCTTAGAGCTTTGTCAGTACAAGGAGAGGTCAGCAAGGAGGCTCATTTCTCCTGTCACTGGTTCATTCAAACGGTTCCCGAGGCCCCGGCAGGTGCTGCACACATGGGAAGAGCAGGTGGTCCCAGATCAGACCCCGAGGTCTGCGTGTGGCAAAGCGGCCTGGCTCGTACGAGGCTGAGACACAGGGAAACAGTGCAGCCCTGCACCTGGCAGAGCATGAGCCGTTCAAGTGTCCATGCACCCTCTGTCCCAGGAAGTTCAAGGGCGGCGATTTGTGGAATAAACCAACGGTCTGAAGCATCGTGTCGCCTGCGGTCTCAGCGTCCTTCATGCTGTGGGTGCTCCATCAAGTAGGATACTGGGAGTATCACTCTACTATTACAAGTCCTACCCGTGAAGGCCACAGACACAGAACATGCTCACAGTATCAGGCAAGTGAAAAATCATGCCCACTGTGCACAAAGACGGGCAGACCATCTTTTTGTTCCAGGTTGAGAATTCCAGTGATTTCCTTTTTTTTAAAGTAATCTCTGCCCAACACGGGGCTCGAACTCACAACCCTGAGATCGAGAGTCACGTGCTCTACTCACTGAGCCAGCCAGGGGCCCCTGGTGATTTATTTTTATATTAAAAACGTTTCATGTTAGTATTACTATAATTTCCATCATAGAAATCCATGGCCATCACCACCCCGACTCCAACACCTCATTCATCCTTGCACAGAGATTTCATATTCTCCAGGTAATGCTCAGGGTCAGAAGCAGATGCTCCCGCTTCCTTGGACCTCACCTCATGGATGGCAAATGCCTCATGACCACATCCAGGGCCTGGATCGTCTCGAAGGGGACGCTGGGCAGCCGCCCCGAAAGTGCATCGTGTAACGCCTGTAAGCTCACGCAGGACACCCACTTGATGGACACCTTGAAGATGCGGTCCTTCCCTTCTCCAGGCAACGTGACCTCCAGCTCCACCTGAGGAGATCCAGAGCATGCGGTTACTCACACTTGCCCCTTAAGAAGCTACTGGGAGGGTGAAGGTGGTGCAACAGCCCAGGGTTGGGAAATTCTAGCTCCTCCTTTATCCCACCAGGCACACATGGGCATGGGCACCGTGACTGACACGGGACCCAGGATTTCTGCCTGGCCCTGCACACAGAGGCAGCTTGGAGAGGCAAGCAGCGAGAGACGGTATCGTGAGGAGGCTCCGTCAGAGTGGGGCGGGGGGCCCAGACGGGGTGGGGAGACACAGGCAGGGGGCCTGGGAGCCAGCCGAGGGTCCTGGAGAGTTATTTCCCAGGGGAACTGAAAATGTTGCAATGGGTCTGGGGATTCCCATTTTCTGGGTCCCTTAGGAGTCCACAAACTAGCTTTGCAGTGAATAAACCATGAACAAAAAGCCTTCCTAGGACAGATGTGTGGTGAAACAAACAGGCAAATGCTAACCACTGCAGATTCTAGACGGGTTGGCACCCGCCTACAACGCGTCCACCTTTCCTCTGACTAAACAGGTTCACGATGAAATGTGGGAAGATCAGAGAATGTGGGTGGTGGGGACTCGCACTGGGCTCTTCCCCACCGTTTCCAGAAGCTGTTCTACGGGACAGTCTGCGACCCAAGGGCATTGGCACCTCCACATACAGAACATGCAGAGAAAAAAGCTTCCACTACAAGACCCCATCAGAATCTCCTGGGAAGAAATTAAAATTCTTAGCCAAACGTCAGAATATTTGCCACGATAGTGCTCAACGGTCTCCAACAGCTCCGTCCAACAGAATTTTCTGTGATAACGGAAACAGTCTCTTCCTGTGCTGCCCAGGACGCCAGCCACTGGCCCAGTGTGGCCGCTGAGCACTTGCAATGTGAACAGTGTGGCCGAGGGACTGAATTTTCAGCTTTGTTAACTTTTCATGAATCCGCGTTGACACGGTCGCGTGCGGCCAGTGGCTGGCGTCCTGGACAGTGGTCGGGAGCGTGCCCCCGTGACTCACTCCCTGAAGCAGACAGTCCCCTCCCAACTGTGAGGCGCCCCTCGCCCACACGCCTGGCTCCTCCTGGCACCCAGACCCACCTTTACCCCATCACTTCGCTGCACCACTCACGATCCCGCAGCTCAGTGGCTGGTAACTGAGGAGTACATCCCGAACACACGGCCCACACAGACCCCACTCAGGTGGTGACTGAAACATGCCATAAACATCGAAGCCAATATTTGTGCAGTGTCTAATGTGACAGGTCACGGATTATATCTATTTTATCCTTAAACATCCAAAGATCCCAGGAAGGAAGACTTCATTCACTACTTTTCATATGTAAAAATACAGATGTCTGGACTAGAGGTCCAGCCCACTCCCCACCTGTCACCGGGGGGCCACCACCCTCAGGGCAGCACAACACAGATGTGCCCCCCCAAGGCCCCCCAAGCCTGCGAGTCCCGGGAGGAAGAGGGTTCCGCCCCGCTGCCTGTGCGCCTGGAACGCCCTCCCCCAGCAGGTGCCCGGCAAACTCCGGGGCGGGAGTCACGACCCAGGTCAAGCGTTCCAGCCGCATCAGGCTCCTGGACCCTGCCCTCCTCACTCCCTCCTCACGCAGCAGGCCTGCAGGCCACTCTCCGCTCCTGAAGCACACCTTCCCTCACGCACTCACCACACCACGTTCAACCGTCACGAGAGCTACAAGCCGACCGCATGCACCGAAGTCACCTGCACGCCTGTGTCCTGGAGGACACCTGCCCAGCAGCCCTCGGGCCACCGCCACGCCTGGCAGCCACTAACGGCCCACGACCCAAGGCCCAGCGCGGAGACGGCAGTGAGAGAGAACAGACACTTCCAGGCGCACGGACCTCAGGATGGAAGAGCGAGCGGCACCGAGCCACAGGACAAGGTCCCTTCCGGAAGGAAATGATAGATGTGATGGTTGCACACACAGCTGCTAAAACCAGGAAGACCAGAACCACAGTGAGCCGTCCCCTCACACCTGTCTGAAAGGCTAGGATCAAAAGACGACCAGTACAGGGCGCCTGGGTGGCTCAGTTGGTCAAGCGACTGCCTTCGGCTCAGGTCATGATCCTGGAGTCCCGGGATCGAGTCCCGCATCGGGCTCCCTG